ACAATCGAATCGGTAGGATAAAGAAAGTGATAGTGTTTATTCCCTCCTAGACTCTGGTTGTCATACCACTCCATCGTCCAGTTCCAGGTCAAATGATACCCTGATGCTCCCTTCCAACCCAGTATTTATTTGTATAATGTAATTATATGTAATGGAGAAAATTAAATACATCAGAACACTAAAATATGAAACTTTGAAATACATTTTATGGATAAAATAGTTGATAATCTGCAATGAAAATAATAATTATTGTACATATGATAAGATGCAGCTATCTGTCTCGTCAGCTCACAATGGCAGATGGATGTAACTTTTAAATATTAAGCTAATAGTAAAAGAAAAAGTAATTTCCCGAAGAGTGCGATTGATGGCTCAGCCTTCTCTAAAAGCCGAATCTTTGGTGTTGTCTCGCTATATTATTGAGAAAACGTTAAAAATGATAATATAAGGATAATAAATATGAAAAATACGCAGCGTATTTATAAATATAATATTAGAATTTAACATGCCATGGCATGTAATATACTAAAATAAGGTAAAATGTTGTATAATGTGTATGAATTTAGAGTCACATAATGCAGTGCAATCATATTTTATACACAGTCAACTCTCCTCAACTAATACGATATCAAGTTATTGAACCATAATAAAAATGAATTTCTTGGCTTCTGTGGTTGCTATTCTGTATGGGAATGTTGTTTTATAGCTCAATATCGAGTTGTACAGAGTTCACTATGTTATAGAATTATGAAGGGTATATAAACATATATATTTTAATAGCATGTACACTGCAATAATAAAGTAGAGATTAGTGAAGTATAACCGAACCGATATTAGGTGCCACGCCGCCATTAATAACAAATCCTCAAATGTCGAAAACTACAAACAACTACAAAAGAACTAACTCATGTCGCAGTTAATGATGATTCCTTTGAAACTCTGCTCTCCTCTTCTAATTATTATCAGCTGTAAAATAAAAGCATATGCAGTGTGATATGTATAAAAGGGTAAAAGTATTCTATTTAAATATATTTTTCCGTCTTTTGATACTCTATAAATATTTGAGAATAAATTATAAAAATTAATTAACGGGTGAAAAAAAAACGGTATAGCGATGACACCTTTCCCGTATGGAAAATTTACTCCACACACCATCATCGACCATTTTTAAATCAGCGCATACCTCTAACTGCAACGGAGGCGGAGGCGGCATGCCTCCTATGACAAGAAACTATAAAACTGTCTTATAGCGAATTCGTTTATTATTCAGTTCCAACCTGGATCGGGTATCCAGATTGGGTCTGCTTGTTTTCTGACAAACGTCAGTTTGCTCATTTGTTTATAAAACCTAGCTCAGGTTGAGGTTCGCACTGACAAAAAGTTCGGTTTCGCATGTTGGAACCAGTTCCAACCCCGATAATAAACGAATTCGCTATTGTCGATCTCTTTCATCGACCCATATAGAGATCTCCAAGCGCAATCTCACAAACATCAAAATCCAATTATAAAAATGAAGAAGAAGAAGAAACACAAAGGTATCGCGACATCACAACTACTATCATTGCAGTGAAGTGTAGTTGTAACACTTTTGTGCATCTGGAGAACTCTACAACCACAAACACATTTTCTCAGCCATTTCTTTCACACTCACACGCATACTGCTGAAAGCTGTGAAGATGTAATTAAGTAGGGTGGATCCAAAAGGAATCTTGGAAGACTAAATAGAGAAAATTCAATGCAAGTGGGTTATTCCGAGAGTCGAAGTGACTCCCGTCACCAGTGAAGCGAGAAAAGTCACGTCGTCATGACGTGACTCTGTCCAAATCAAACGGAGGATGACGTCAACAAGACGTGACCCCCCTCACCTCACCAGCGACAAAGGTCACCATGACACTCGTAATAACACCCAAGGAATAAATAGTAATAATTGAAATTTGACTTATCTGTACAAATGTTACTCTCCTTTCACCCTTAAACCGCATTATGCCGGAAACTCAACCTGTCTGCAGCTGTACGGTAGTGTCAGTGTAGTGCCGTATTCTTCTGAAGCATTTTCGAGCTTAAAAACCACTCCACTCGTCACAAACCTCGTGTACGCAGTATGAAGCGGCACCACCACTCGTAAACAAAAAAAAACCCACTTCCTCACTTCCTCGACACTACCACTGCAATCCAAATCGTGCTTCCACACACGAATCAAACCCGTCACAAGCAGGAAGTTACCATTTCACACCACTTTAAACTCTTCCTTTCTTCTTCCATCTTCTAGGGTATACAGTATAAAAATCTATCGTTTCTCACTCTTTTCACTTTTTCTGTCCTATCTCAGACACACGTTCTTTTCTCCGATGTCAGTGCACTGCTATTCACAAATACCCCTTCGAATGTACATGTCATACTATCACTTGCGAAATTCGCACACTACTATTTTCACATATTCTTCTCTCTTGATCATGTAGCACGGGCATAGTACTCCATTTTAAAATTTCTTCCCTGCTTCGAAATCGTACTATAAGTTACGGTTTACAAAAAATGTATGCTCCACTCCCGTCTTTTCCAACACCATCTTTCACGACCAGTGACGGCTACATACTTCTCTAGATAATTAATCAGAGAATGCAATCGTCAAAGTCTAGATCAAATTGAGTTAAAATTGCAGATGCTATCGTGTGGGCCGCGGAGAGAAATGTTGTATCGAAAAAAAAAACGCGGTTGAAGTTTGAGGTACAGATTTTTGGCAAAAGTAAGGGAATATATATAGTTGAAGATAACAAACCTTCAACATGGAACCAATTGTCCCTTATTCTTGACACTTCAGAGTACCTTTTTATGAAAAAAAAATCGATTTTTTGAAAATCCTAGGGTGGCGTAACCCCTTAAATCGTTTCGATAGTATCTAATTTAAATCGTTTAGGTAACGAAGTATTTGAATAATCAATTTTGGAAAACACAGAGTGAAACCATAGAGATAACTCTTAGGCTAGAAGGTCCCGAAGGCTCAACTTTTTGGCTCAGCTCTGGTACTATCTTTGGTCCCAAGCTGTCAAACTTTCATAGCGAATCAAAACAAACGTAGTGCTGGAATTTATACTAGAATGGGGGTACGTTAATCGATTTGCTTGGGACCAATAGGCTAGTCAAGTAGTGAGCCAATTTAAAATCGTTAGTTTCGTATTGATTGTTGGTGAAACCCTCGGTGAAACCAAATATACTACATAAAATTAGTCCAAAAATGACGGAAAATAATTTAGTTTCCTTAAGATTTTGACTCCTTTGCACCTATAGTTGCGGTGGTGTTCCTATAATAGTGGAACCCATAAGAAACCAATGCGTTCCACTATTATAAGAACCAAAGTTAGCAACTACCACCACTACTAGAACAGTGTTCCTTTTAATGGAGGACAAGTTTTCGAAAAATATACACAATTTAATTACGATTTAATATTTTTATAGCAAAATACAGATTGAAAGCTATAGTTTGACGTATATAAATTGTACATACATCGACGATTCAATTTTTAATAATTAAATTGTCTTAGTTCCTCCACTACTGGCTCACCCACCCTAGTACGTTCAGACTATACAGAGTTATAACATGTAATAGCGCTATCTTGATGGTGATTTATGTGTTGCAATTATTTGACAACCGTTATAACATGTTATAACTCTCCAGTCTGGACACCGCTTAACACTACCACCCGAGCTACCATCACTACCTGATAGTGGTTTTAGTATGCCTGGGTGACCTACCAGTTACGCTAAAGCAACGATCAAATGCATCGTTTACAAATGCAGATACGTCGCTTTAAAAAAAGTAATCGAGAAATCCCTATTTTGATTTCATACACACTTAGAAAAAATCATGTAAATTTGGGTGCTCTGAGAGTGACATATACGAGCGCCAATTTTAACATAAATTTGAGTCATAACAGACGCGAAATATAGCTCAATCAAACATACTTTTCGTCGAGCAACAAACTTTTCAGGCTCGCAGCACTTAATATTACATGACATGTTTGTTTACGTCTCATCTTTTATGTCAAAGATGGATTCCATCACGTGTAAAATTAGTTATTTCTAAGTGTGTAGGCTATGAGGAAAATCCGATCAATTCGGTCAGCATTCGGTCATAAAGCATTCAGGCACTAACTATCGCCACATTGTTCTGTTTAAGTTCCTGATTGAGTTGTTGTTTGTCCGGAGAACAAATAGATATTTTGATTGCTAGTGAAAAATTATCAAACAATGCTTTCCTTCGAAATGTATGTATGAGCCCAATATTAGAAACACTGACGCCGACATTAGGGGCATTACCTATTTATTTTACTTAATTTTGTTTAAAATTTATTAAAGTGATTTTAACCTTATGTCTCCAGCATATCCAATGTTTTTAACGATAATTAATAGTGATTGAGGGCACTCGGTTCATTGATCAGACTGAAAGCTAACCATTTATACCATACAAACTTGAAGAAAATGTGCAAACTCTAAAAATATCCTGATGAATATGGGCCTCTTAGAGAAACACCTTAATAAAGAAAGTGAGAAGGATTAGTCATTTCCATTTAAATCCACTACCTTATTTGCATATCCTTGACAGATCCGCGTATTTCGTCTACAATGCGCAGACTTCTTCAGTGTCGAGAATAAGTACAAGCAAATAAGGAAATTACTAATCCTTCTTTCTCAAAAAAATAATTGTTTCTCCCAGATTTTAGACAGACAAGCAACAATATAGCAATATTCCTGGTCAGTCCCAGCCTGCATACGTCAGCGTTTTCATATGGGTATGTTTTATGCTTATGACTTCCACGATTCTATATGAGGCACACGGAGCTTACTCCCTCGCCTCTTAGTTATGATGTTTATTGCTTCGGAACTTGGCGGATTTATATTGCAATGTAGATCCGATCCGAAAATAAGCTTCTATTGGGACTGCAATAAATTCAAGATTGTGTGAATTGATAGGCATAATAAGAGTCACGTATGATTCCTATTTGCTTTATTACTCCATCACTGAGAGCGCATTTCTATGGTAGGTACACATCGAACTACGTTTTGCATCGCAAATCGGGTCACAGCAGAAAATCATCTGGCTTGCGTTTCTTCACGCACCTGGAATGCTCCCCGTATCTGCTTTTTGCAGCCGTTCTTTCATCGTTCAAGTCCTTCAACCTTGCCTGGGCCTGTTCCAGTTGTTGCTCTAATCGACGAAATTTCGTTTCGCTATCGCTTTTATGCTGAGCTACATCTCGTTTCATTGTGCAAACCGTTTCTCTGTAGTATTCCACTTTCCTCTCCAGATTGGCACAAATTTGCTGCTTCTGGAAATTCCAAAACGTAATGGCATTGTTGGCAATCTCCATCACCACCTCCGGACTGTAGCCGCACAAAAGCAGCTGTATCATAGGAGAGAGTAGGAAGAGCACAATAGCTGGTAAACAATAGAAACGTCAGAGAAACGAGGTTAGGTTACCTACCGCTCGCGCCTGAAGCGAGTTGTTTAGTTTTCGTTCCACGATGGAAAGCTCGTCTCGGAAGCGGAAACCACACGCTGGACAACTGGGTGGAGCCGTGGTCTGGCGGAGCTTGGCTTCCTTGCCGTGCTGAGCGCAGAACACGTGCGAACAGCAGGTAATCCACGCGGTGCTTTCAATTTTCTTGAAACAGTCCCGGGCATTGCACACCAGTTGGTCACGTTCGGTTGACATTTTGCAAATGAGTTAATGACAATGTGGAATGATGGTCAAAGACTTGCTGGTGAAAGCTTTTGTCAACAAAGATAGACAAAAGATAAGCAGGCTTGGTTTTTGATGCGTGCCTGCCGTGGCACGTGATGATTTATTGTATTAAAAGGTATCTGATGATAATTTACAATTATAACAAAAAACACTTATGTTAAAGAAAACCAATTTTGTGCAATCAATATCAAATAACAATACTATGATAAAATGTACGGTCGAAATTCGCTGGTTGCGCCAACTGACCGAAGGCTAAAATTTATTGGAGAGTGTGCGTATTCTTTGTTGTGGTCGGGAAGATTTCACAAAAAGCGAATTGAAGCAAATTGCTTGAAGTTGAATAGGAAACGCTTATGATTTATGTGCACAATTTTATTTTTGTGTTCTTCTAGAATTTTAAATGAAACTCAAATGTTTCGAAAAAATACCAAATATTTACATTTACATTTCATTCGCAGTTCTAAACGCAAATGCTAACCTCCTGCAAAAATTGATGTTTGATTGTCAAATCAAATTTGACATGAGATTTGCCTAACCAGCAGAGGCCCAACTAAAACGTAGCCCAAGTATTAAAAGACCAACCAGAGAATTACGACTGTATTTCAATAATGATACGGTAAATCGTGCTAACTGATGGCTGTTGGATCCCTTGTGCATGGAGACGAATGGTTGTCTACGGAGTAAAGATCGTCTTAAAAAGTGTCGAACACTTGGCATGCATTGATTGCTGTTCTTGAGGAATACAAAAACCGTCTATGGATACAATGTTCATAGTTCTAAAAAGCAGCTAATTTTAAGCAATGTCCTTAAAAACATTTTTGTATCTCTTAAATTGCCCGATTTAGAGCAATTTTCTCCAATTCACCCTTGTTTTAAAACTTCATTAGTGAGATTTTTAGCTCATTGGCTAGTTCGTCTCGACTCAAATCACCTAGAGTTTCTCTACAAAAAACAGTTGTTGGTACTATTTCTGATTAAGGAATGGGTTTTAGTGGACCTGCACTAGGCGATTACCCAAGTAAACGGAAGTTTCGCATTCAACGATAAAACTCACTTCCAAGTTCCATAAAGTTCCATCAAGTAAAAATAATGTTCCGAAAGAACCTTCAAGTTCCATACAGTTCAAATAAAGTTCTGACAGAACTTTCAAGTTCCATACAGTTCAAATACTTCAAGTTCCATAAAGTTCGAATAAAGTTCTGACAGAACTACCAAGTTTCATACAGTTCAAATAAAGTTCCGACAGAACTTTCAAGTTCCATACAGTTCAAATAAAGTTCCGACAGAACTTTCAAGTTCCATAAAATTCAAACAAAGTTCCGACAGAACTTTCTTCCCAATCAACCATAAGTTCCGCATTCAACGATAAAACTCACTTCCAAGTTCCATAAAGATCAAATAAAGTTCTGTCAGAACCTTCAAGTTCCATAAAGTTCAAATAAAGTCCCGACAGAACTTTCAAGTTACATTAAGTTCAAATAAAGTTTCGACAGAACTTTCAAGTTCCATACAGTTCAAATACTTCAGGTTCGAATAAAGTTCTGACAGAACTGTCAAGTTCCATACAGTTCAAATAAAGTTCTGGCAGAACGTTCAAGTTACATACAGTTCAAATGAAGTTCCGACAGAACTTTCAAGTTACATACAGTTCAAATAAAGTTCCGACAGAACTTTCAAGTTCCATAAAATTCAAATAAAGTTCCGACAGAGCTTTCTTCCCAAGCAACCAAAAGTTCCGCATTCAACGATAAAACCCACTTTCAAGTTCCATAAAGTGCATATAAAGTTCCAACACAACATTCTGGCTGCTTTAGAAGCTTCACGAGGCTCCAAAAAGTATCCGATGCTAACTCCTAGCAACTTGAAGTTAAAAAAAAAGTTCCAAAAAGCATCCTTAAGCACTTCTTAGCAACTTAGCGGAACTTCTTAGCAACTTTAAAGTATCTTAAAAGTTCCCTGTGAAACTTCTTGGCAACTTGAAATTTTCCAAAATGGTCCGTCATAGCCCACATGAAGCAATCCGCACAAGTCTTTATTAGTAACAAAATTTCATGTACGTAAATATGAAATGATCAGTGGCTCAAAATAAATCATAATTCTTATATCTATGCAGTGCATCAACATTCTATCCAAACATAAAATAAAACTAAAGAGCTATTTCCTGGATTCTACCCCGTTTATTTGGCATGCGATCTACGAAAGCTAACCACTACGCCAAAAGTGTGTTGGAATACCATGCGGGCAAACACCAATTCAAAATTTCAAGGTGTTCTGTTTCGTATTCAAGTCAAAATTCTGAAAATTCCAACAGTAGGCGGGACAACAGCTCACTTTAATATATCTCAGATGACGTAGCGGTTCGTGCTGGGGCTCTCACGCCGAAGGACTGGGTTTAATTCTTCAAACAGCTTCAATTTTACTACTAATGCTGATAAATTAATACACATTCAAACCTGCCTTTAGAAATAACTTTCATAAAAGTGCGAACTAAATATAGAATTGGTGTAGAGGACAAAAACCTTTTTTAATTTATTTTCAAAAAGTTCCGTTCAAGTTCCGCCAGAAGCTGCTTAGAATGCTCTTCAATTATGGTACCGGAACTTTCAATTTCTTATAACGACTTTAAAATGCGGCTGCTTAGAATTATATAGACCGTCTTCAACGAAGCTGCTTAAGCCACAAATAGCCTATTATCAGAACTTTTGGTTACTTGGGTAGTAGATATCATCAGAATTCGTTCTGATTTTACTGCCTGGTTGAGTTGAACCTTTGCCTTCTAAACAAAACATTTTAACTGATAAATTAACCGAGTTTGCCAAGCATGCCGTTATTCACAAACAAACAAAGTTGGTTCTAAGAGGAAGAGGAGACAACTGGCTTATCTGTCTACGACGTGTTCTTCTTCTCTCGTGGAAACGACCGTGCAGAAACTATTTCAAAATTTTTCACTATGGGCGACACAGTCGACTGTCAATATACATATACGTGATTCTATACGTTCGCCCAACGAATCAGGCGCTGGTTCGTGACAGAAAATGGGTTTATATAAAAGTCCCCCTATTGTCTCCTCTTCCTCTCATCATTCTTTGCTCAACTATTGAGCTGTTCAGTCCGTATTTTCACTGGAGATCTCGTTTCGATTTTGCTTCGTTTTGTGCTGTCGCGTTGCGCCGTGGAAAGGTCGCCACCTTCTCGCGTTCTGGCAAATTTACTTGAACTTGCAAACACGAAACAAATGGTGCGTAAACGTGCCAATGATACAGCAGCGGGACCTTCAAAGAAGGTGCTAATCAAGCCCAGCGCGTCGCAGGATGACGTCGGAAACCGGGTACTGCTAGCCAACCAGTAAGCAGTACTCCCGGAAGAAAATGGCGATGGTGACGCCGTGCCCATTGCAAGAAAAGAGCGGATTCCCCCGCTTTTCACGCCGGTGAAGGATGTTGCCAAGCTGGGTGCCGAACTGGCAAAACACAAGCTGCTGCCTCGCTTCAAACTTTACAGCATCGGTACCAAAATCAGTATAATCAGTACAAACAAGTAGAAACTTCTTCACGCATGGTCTGCCATCGAGCAAGCCACTGAAGGTGGTTTTGCGTGGATTACCGTCGTTCGAAGCGGCTGCGGTGAAATCCGAGCTGGAGCGACTTGGGCTCAAGCCTGAGGCAGTGTACCCAATGAACCGGCGTTCCAACCACAACACCAGCTTCTGTGATCAGTTGTTCCTGGTGCACTTCACGAAGGGATCCACCAGTCTTGGGGCTCTGAGATCCAAAATCCCGGACCTGTTTCAGGTCATCATCAGTTGGGAGCATTACAAACTCCAACATCGTGATGTAACGCAGTGTATGAATATGCCTATCATATGGCCATGGCACCAAAAACTGCCATACGAAGACAAACTGCGGCAAGTGTGCTGGAACTCGCTCAACTGCGTCCTTTGAGCAAGATGATGACATCGAGCCAAGCCCAAGTAACATTGCAGGTTTTATCGAGGTTTTGTAGCATTCTACAAGTCCAGATCATGATCTACAGAACCCTCATAAAACCAAAATTGTTACTTGGGAGGTGTGTCAACTGCGGTGGAAACCACCAAGCCTCCAATCGTGGATGTCCCAAGCGAGTGGAGTTTATAAATATCCGTCGGAAGACTACAATCAACAATCAGCCCGGTCACCTCCGTAATCATCGTTCGCCTCCCGTACTCATGGAAGTCTAGTACCCAATCCTGCGAATATACAAATGGTTCCCAACAGTCCGACAGTTCAGCATCGTCTCGCTGCTGCTGCGGCCCAACCAATTCCAGGTTCATCCACCACCCTAGTTTATCATACGCTGGTGCTATCTCACGTGAGCCTGTCGACGATTCTCCGTTAACTTCGGAGGAACTTGTGACGCTCGTGGCCGAGGTCATCATCATCATGCGCACCTGCAAGACTCGATCTGAATAGCTACATGCTGCCTTGTCCCTTGTCACTAAGTATGGACCGTGAAGCCATGAAGATCGTAAATTGTAATGCTTGCTCCTTGAAGAGCAGAAACATCGAGTTTGTTGACTTTCTCAACGAACGGCACATCGACATAGCCGTCATCACCGAGACTCACTTGAAGCCCGAGCTGAACGTCTTCCTTCCCGACTTTCGGCTCGTAAGGCTTGACCGCACCAGCTCCGGGGGAGGGGTGTGGCCATCGCTGCGAGACGGAACATCAGCTGCCGGCTACTACCAAGCTTCCAGCTGAAAATTATCAAAGCCATTGGAGTTGAAGTGAGCATATCGCTTGGTCTACTGCTCCAAGCAAACCAACATTAGGGACGGCTCGGCCGTAGACCTCCGAAAAGACATCATCAAGCTAACACGACAACCACAAAATTCCATCATCGCTGGCGACCTGAACGCCAAGAATCAAGCCTGGGGTAATAGTAGGCGAAACCAGAACGGCACAATCTTGTACAACGGCACAATCTTGTACAACGGCACAATCTTGTACAACGGTACAATCTTGTACACTCCCACCTGGCTG